TTGATTTTATCTGTTTTATTAAATTTGGCTTTCTTCTTAGAACAAAAACTGTGACCAAATAAAGTTCATTGACTTATAAGGTAACAAATTGGTAAAAGCTGAATCTGTTTTTCAATGTTATACCACTATTTAATTGAACTGATTGATGGATTGTGAATTTCTGGAACAATCATTTTTTTTCGAGATTATTGAATAACATTGATACACAGTATTTAAACACTGAACATTGTCTAATTTTCATCCAAAGAACCAAGATGTGTACTAGTAATGAAACTGTTAAACAAATTCAATACGGAAATGTTGTTAATGTTTGTGGTGAAGTAATTTGTTATTGTGTTATACCTTCTCAACAAAACTATCTCTTTCAAGTGCCAAATTATATAGTAGAGTCACAGAGGATTCCTTTAACAGGAGTGTATTTAATACGAAGTAATCAATGCCAGAACGCAACCAGAATAAAACAATATAATAACTTAAAGAGTAAAGAAAAAGAATTAATTAAAAGGGCATATACAGTAAGCTTTTTATCCTGGTCTTTGTTATCATGTGGTTGTGAAGTTCAACTTCAGAAGTGCAAGAAAAGATCTACTAAGATAAATCCTTTTGTTATTGAACATGTTATCCATAATGGAGAAATTATATTTGATATTGAAATATTTAAATCTCATATAGATGCACAGTTATCACGTCAAACAATTGTTAATGCAATGAACTATGAATTAATTTCTTTGTTGAAACAATTTGGATGTGAGATTAACTACAAGACAAGAGGAAAATCAAAGTATCCATTAATAACAATAACTTCATATTCATTACAAGGGATTACTCATTATGATTGGGAAATAATAGGAAAAAAGTATTATTATAAGTTAAAACAACAAATTTAATTATAAATATTTAAATATGAAATTTTAGATTATTCTTTGTTTTAATTTTTATTTGATAACCAAAATGATAATAAAACAACATAAATATCATTTAAATGAAATAAAATAATGATTTGTTTAATAAGTTGTTAATAAATGATTTATACCATGAATAAATAATTATGATATTTATTATTTTGATATTGAAATTGAATGAATTTTGAATCTTTATTAATTTCATCAATTAGTTCTTATGTTTATTTTTATTTAATTCTCTATAACTTTAATAACCCATCAATTTAAATAATATGAATCACTATTATCTTCATTGTTTCAATTATAAATTATATTACTGTTAACACATGGGTATAATTAATAATTATTATTTTTTATTGAAATAAGTTATATTTTCTTCAATTTTATCAATTAACTTATCTATACTTCTTATTTTAATTAGTATTAATTAAAATGATTAATTTTTGAATTACTCTATGATAAAGATTGGATTATTTGTTTTATATTTTATTATTAACATTATTAACAGAATAATATTCTCTTTAATAATAATTAAAATAGGATTAATTCAAAGGATTATAATTATTTATAATGTATATAATATTTCTTTAATACAAATTATTGTTAATAATAATAAATATTTAATTTTTAATTAGAACCATATCAATTAAGTTAATTTTATAAAGTTTATATAAAGATACGAGTATTTAATAAACAAGTACATATCATTATTTATTCTTTATAATTAATACTTTACATTTTGTGTTCTATTAATTTATTTATATCATATATGAGTGTGTTATTTAACTTCAATTTATGTTTTCTAATTAAATAATCATGTTGAATGATTTGAATTAAGTATTCTCTCTCTTTCACATGTATTTTATTATATAATTTCTCAAGACTATATTATTTGTATTCTAATTATTAATGAATATTAAATGAACATAAATTTATTTTATTGAAATTAGTGTCTAAGTAATATCACGATAAAACTGATCATTGTCATTAAAGTTGAATAAATTATCATTACATTTATTTGAAAAGAGAGTAGAAATAAAAATGAGAAGAGAGAATAAATAATATATTCTTTATCAATGATTGAAATGATAACTTTAAAAATAGGAATAATTCATTTTCACTCTATTTCTTATGATCTATAAAGATGATATTAGCTTATTTAACTCATTAAAGAATAATAATGAATAAAGATACAATTAATATGTAAAATACAAGAAATAAAAACTATAAAGATGTATAAATAAAAACAATATAAACTCAATATTATCACAAATAATTCCTTATTATCCAACATATCAAATAACCAAATTAATTATATAAAAATAAGTTATTAATATTATAAAAT